TCGGGCTGGGTTCATACCAGGGAAGAAACCCGTGTGGTTCAGCAGTGGTTGCCTTCGCACGCAGCCCTCAGATGGATGGATCCCTGTTACTATGGGGGGCTGGAAGGAACACGGATTATTAAAACCCCAAACAAAGACTCCCCCATACCAGACCTCTCCCCTCGCCCCCCAGCCCAACTGGACAAGCAAGGCCTGTTTCTTTGGGCCTGAGGTTGTGCCATATAAAGTCTCATTTTGAGACTCTACAGACTTCGTTTAACTACCTTATGGATAGTGGGCTGTGACAGTCTTGAACAGGGAACTTTTACATATCTCCCCATTGAAGGAGCAACCCTGAGTCAAAAAGGTAAGTTGAGAGAACCAGCCAGGGGTCCTTCTCTCTTGTTTTGGGTTTGATGTCATGAGCCATAAATGCTCTTTCGGCCTGATAGAACCCAACAAATCTCAGTCAACAATGTCTTAACAGTACATGCTAACTCCCAGTGGAGGCTCAGGCACCTGCCAGGGTCTGTATTATCTAGAAAAATCCACCTTTATGTTGAATGCAAACTACTGTGCCTGAGAGCCCTCTCTCAAAACGGATGTTGCCTTACACCTGTTGGTTATAGCTCTGTAGAATATTGCTATCCAGAAATTTAACAACAACAACAAAAATCAACCAGTTGCTAATGAGTGATGTCAGACTAGGACTGTGTTCACAAAGATTCTGTCTTTTCTCTGTTGTTATTGTTGTGGCCTTGGTTTGTAGAAAATACCATCAGCTTTCTTCACCACATTTGCTTTTTCACCCGCTTTGTCTTCAGCGGTTATGTCGGAAAGGTGAGCATCATAGAATGCCAATTTAATAGAAGAAAGTATTCTTGCATTGAGGAAGTACCTGAGTGGAGGCCCAATGTCCTTCTGCTACCTTAATACTAAACCTATAAATATATGCACATCGATCTATTTACCTATCCTCATATATAAATATATTTGCATATGTGCCTGTCTTTATCTAGACCTCTATAAATGCCATGGCTGAATTTTTGAAAGTCGATGTTAGACTTCCTTCTGAGGCATCTCTGAGTGGACTTGAAACACGAACCTTCAACTTCCAACCTTTCAGTTATCAGCCAAACATGCTAACCATTGGCACAAGCCAGAGTCTTCTTCGTATACCTACATGTTTAAAATAGTCTTTGGTCTGATGAATTTGTTGTTGTTAGGTGTCACCAAGTCGGTTCCGACCCATAGTCAGCTTATGCACAACAGCAAGAAACACTTCCCCGTCCTGTGCCATGCAGGCATTTATGACATTGTGCTTCAAGTAAAACCACAACATAATCTTGCAGATATTAAACTTTTTCCCCAAAAGTTGATACCTCAAGGCTTTTGCAGTATTTTTCTTAGCATATTCAACAGACTTAAAGCTGAACATTTTGAAAGGGCGAGCCCGTCAGTTCCACAATATCTTAACAAATTAATGTTATGCAATAGAGATGTATAAGGTAGCCCTGGTGGCATATTGAGCTACACCGGGTTACAAGTTAGGTTGCTAACCTCACAAGGTCAGCAGTTTGAACGCACCAGCTACTCCGGAGGAGAAAGATGACAGAGCAGCTCTATTCTGCCCAGCAGGGTCGAAAACTGTGCATGGGCCTGTGCCATCCTCACTGTCACTGCTTTGTTCAAGCCTATTCTTGCAGCCATCATGTCAGTTCATCTCCTTGGGGGGCTTCCTCTTTGTCAGTGAGCCTCTACTCTGTTAAGCATGGCGTCCTTCTCCAGGGACTGACCCCTCCTGACGCATCTAAAGTGCATAAGATGGAGACTGAACATCCTTGTTTTTAAAGAAGCTTTCTGGATGTACTTCTTTCGAGACAGATTGCTTCATTCTGTTGGCAGTCCGTGGTATATGACATGTTCTTTGCCACAGTTATAATCAAATGTGTTGATCTTTCTCTGGTGTTTCTTCTTCGTTGTCTAGCTTTTCCAGGCCTGTGGGGAGATGGACAATACCGTGGTTTGGTCAGACAACCCTCAGTCCTTCCAGTGACCTCTCATCAACACTTTAAAGAGATCTCGGGCAGCAGATTTGCCCAATGCGTCCTTTGACTTGGTGACTACTGCTTCCATGCATATTGATTGTGGATTGAAATGAAATCTTGGACAACGTTAATCTCTTCCCATTTCAGTGTATTGGTTCAATTGCTTATTGGTTTGATTTTGGAGGATTTTTGATTTTTTTTATGGTGTGGTCTAATTTATTTAAGGTGAAGATTATCATCTTTGATCTTTATCAGTGAGTGTTTCAAGTCCTCTTTGCTTTTAGCAAGCAAGTTGGTGTCATTGCATATCATGGGTTATTAATGAGTCTTCCACCAATCCGGATGCCACTTTCTTCATCATAACGTCCTATTTCTTTGATTATTTGTGCAACAGATAGCTTTGAATAAGTTCAGGACACGCCCTAACAGACACCCTTTCCTGGTCTTCCCTTATTCAGTTCTAACAACTATTTCTTGGTCTATGTACAGGTCCCACATGAGCACAATTTCAGCATGTTTTGGAATTCCCGTTATTTACAATGTTGTTCATAAGTGGTTGTGATCTGAGCTGTTGAATGAATTTGTGTCCAGGCTTTCATCCAATATCAGTCTGACATCAGCCATGATGTCCCTTGTTGTGTGTCCTCTTCTGAATCAGGATTGAATTTCTGTTATTTTCCCATCATTACACTGCTCCAACCATAATTTCACTTGTGTATATGGTATGAATATTATTGTCTGGTAATTCTGCATTCTGTTGGACCACTTTTCTTCGGAACAAGCACACATATAGGTCTTTTCCAGTCAGTTGACCAAGTAACTAATTGCCTTTCAAATTACTTGACATAGATGAGTGAGTGCTTCCATCATTGCATCCATTTGGTACTCTGTTCTTTGCATCTATTCGTATTCTGTCAATTATCCTGTCAATTCATTCCACTCAGTGGATCTGTTGGTATTCTATCAATTACTAGAGTCTTGCTTTCCACCAATGACATTAGTGCATCTTGGACTTCTTCCAGTACCATCAGTTCTTGATTATAATGCCACTGGAAATAGTTGGGATGTTTACAAATTATTGGGTTTTTTTGTAATGTAACTCTCAATGCACCTTCAAGTTTCCCTGGACTCTTTCTGCTGTATTCAATATTTTACCAATAGAACCCTTCAATATTGAAACTTGAGGTTTAATTTCCGCCCCCTCTGTTCTTTCCCCTGAGGAATAGCCACTTTGCTCTTGTCTTTGGGTTTTCCAACTCCAGGCTTTTGCACATTTCATTATAATAATTTGTCACCTTGAGCTGCCCTTTGGAACCTTTTTTTTTCTTCTTAAATAATTTAATTGGGGGCTCGTACAGCTCTTATCACAATCCATACACATATTCATTGTCTCAAGCACATTTATACATATGTTGCCATCATCATTTTCAAAGCATTTTCTTTCTACTCGAGCCCTTGGTATCAGCTCTTCATTTTTTCCCCTCCCTCCCTCATGAACCCCTGACTGATGTCTCCCTTCACCCACTTTTCTGTTGTCTGTTCCCTTGGGAGGGGGTTATATGTAGATCATTGTGATCGGTACCCCCTTTCTCCCCCCACCTTCCCCTTATCCTCCTGGTATCGCTACCTCAATATTGGTCCTGAGGGGTTATCTGTCCTGGATTCCCTGTGTTTCCAGCTCTGATCTGTACCTGTGCACAACCTCTGGTCTAGCCAGATTTGTAAGGTAGAATTGGGGTCATGATAGTGGGGGGTTGGGAAGGACGCATTAAAAGAAATAGAGGAAAGTTGTATGTTTTGTGGGTGCCAGACTGCACCCTGACTGGGGACGGGTGTTCGCAAAGTTGGGATTGGGGCTGGTCCATCACCTTTGCATCCTTTGGTTCAGGTCCTTCACTCCGTTTGGTGTAGCTACTGAAAAAGTAGCTACATTCATGTCAGAGTGAATTTCTCTCTCTCTGACCTCCATTTTGGCCTTTTGTCTTTCAAGTGAAAGGTAGTAGACCTCTCAATTTCCTTCTGGCATGATGAATATGCATTAGTTAGCCCTGAAGTACATGAAGCCATTATTTTGGCATTGAAAAGATAATGAAATATACAAATAAAACCCTATTACAATAAGGGGAATTGAATAATAAAGACATTTTTGATGTCTTCAAGATTGACCTAAAAGGAGCAAGGCTTTGTTTATTTAATTACAATGAATTATCTTGAGCGCATAATTCTGTGTAGACCACATGCTTTGTCTCGTCTCTGTCTAAGCAAGTCTCTGATAAATAGGAGTTAATTGAATTTAAAGGAGAGGAAAGGGCTTATTTTTCTGAACTCTTACTCTGGCATTAACTAGGTAGTAAGCCTCCACATTCCTACCCCTTTCACTTCACACATCCAATCATGTTGTGTCTGTCTGTTCTGCTCACGCATTTGCGCGTGCGTGCGCACACACAGGCACAGTGTCCAAAGTGGCTACTGAATATTGTGGTAAGCATTTAGGGGAGAAAATAGGCTAACTGAAAAGAGAAAAAGAGACATGTGAATTTATGAACTCTTTCTCCCCTGGTAGCAAAGGAAAATCACTACTGAAAAGTTTGCCTCTCTGTGTGATGTCAGTTATCTTCCATCAGATGCTTAAAGCATGATTCAGGCTCTCCTAAATACATAGTGCATACACAGTGCATAACCTCCGTACACATTCAGATTTTTAAAACTACACTCCAGATGAGAAACCACTGGAACAATGTATTGTTCCATTTCTTCTTAATAGGCAAACTGAATGGTGTTGGCTTTTCAATGACATTGATAATTTCACCCCATCCATGTGGATGACTTTAAATTTCTTCAAAAATAATTTTTATCTGAATAATTTATAAGGAAAACTTTCATTTCCATTTCGCTAGGTAAACAAAAGAGGTCTTTACCCATTTAAGTCATGGTCACTTAACCTCAAGGAAATTGAATTCTATTGATCCTTCCCCACATGTAACCAACAGATGCCTATTCAGAGAACACCCAAAGAAAGGGGAGAATAAAAAACCAAGTCGTCTGTGAAGGCGCACTTTGGTCTTTGTCATGCTCTGCGCTTGAGCCCACCCTGCCAGGCACGGCCCCTGTCGTTCAAGAGATCCTCCAAGAAACCATCTTGACCAGCTTCTGAAGCTTAAAGAGGGACAAGTTGCCTCTTTGGGATCGTTGATTATTGGATGGAGGCGAGGACAGAGAACCAGACTGGTTCCACTGCCTGGTGCCAGCTCGTTCATTTCAGAGTGATGGGGCCACCAGCGAGGATTCATTCTTGATGTTCCACAGGGAGGCCCAGACTTTTGAGATCTTGGCCACTCTAAATTTTCACTGTTTTCAATACTTCCTGCCGGCTATTGGCTCAATGTGATGTTTCTAGATTTGTTTAAAGGCGTGGTTTGCTTCCTTGGAGAGAGTTGATATTAGGGTCGGGAGCATTTGCAGTCATACCTCTGGTCTTTCCCATCATTTCACCCTGGAGGTGCAGTGATTAAGCATGCAGCTGCTAACTGAAAGGTTGCCAGCACCTCTGTGGGAAAAAGATGCAGCCTCCTGCTTCTCTAAGGATGTGCCGCCATGGAAACCCAACAGGGCACTTCCATCCTGTCCTACAGGGTCACGAGGCGTCGTCAGGCATGACGTGGCAGTAAGGGCTTTAGGGGATGCCCTTCTTACCTTGCACAACTGAACCGTAAAAGGGCAAGATTTGTAGTTCAAAAAGAGGCTGGCCAACACGGACGTTAAAAGCAGGCTGGTGACTCAGGTGACTGGGTTCTAAGCTTGGCCTCACTTCTTCAGAGCATTACTTTGTCTCTTGATGTTTCAGTAGTCTTGTCCATAAGAGCCCTGATGGCATAGGGGTTGCAAGTTGGGCTGCTAACCGAAAGGTGAGCAGTTTGAAAACAGCTGCTCCATGGGGGAAAGAGAAGGCTTTCTACTCCAGTAAAGAATTGAAGTCTTAGAAACCTGCAGAGGCCATTCTACCCTGTCCAATAGGATTGCTATGCATCAGTAATGACTCGATGCGTGCATTTTTGTTTGTTTGTTTGGTTCTCATCCAGCCAGCCAGGATAACCATCGTACCTACCCCTGCGCTATCATGATTAAGCCCTTAATGACTGCTTTATTGTTGTCAGTATAATGATGGTTTTCCAGAGGAGCAAAGTAAGATTTCATGATCGTCCTCTCAACTGAACTACTTCTTACTAAGCCCTGCCCACTTCTCAGCACCCGTATGCCTCTCTCTTTCTTTGGCAGTCTTGGTCCAGAACTAGGTGGAAGAATGGCTCGGCAATGTGTCTAATGCCGTATTCTCTTCTTTCCAGGGAATAGATTCTGCAACCTTGCCCTCAACCTCTTCCTGTTGACGACAAAGCCCATGGAATCACAAAAGGAGACACCTTCCCAAGGTTCCGTGTAAATGCGTTTCTTCTGCTGCTTCTCTTCCGCCTGTTCCGGGGCAAAGACAATGATGAGAGAGCTCCCACCTCTGGAAAGAACACATGAATGGCGTTCAGACTCATCCCCAGTGAGAGACACACACACGGCAAGCGTTCAAGGCTCAGCATCTGTTCTCCAGTGGCCCTGCAGGAATGCGCTGTCTCACAGCACCAGTTCTGCAGAGCCCCACTCCCGGACTCCTTGTGGTTTTATTTATATGGACTTCCACGATTGCATTCCTATATGGCCCTGCTGCCCTTGAGGTGGCAGCAAGTGACCAGAGGCTACAGGTTTGACAATGGACACCAGGTCAGGTGCCACCACACAAAACAAAGCCAGTTCCCATGAGCTGCCTATGATATGCATTGCTGAAGTAACATTTTACCCAGGGTGCGCCATTGCAGTGATATAAATATATTTTTTTCCTAGACTAATTATGAGCTGACTATCTCTTTTGATGTGTGTACATAGGTGTGAGTATGTGTGTGGGTGTGTGGGTGAGCGGGTGAGTACGTTTGCATACGTGTGTGTGCGCACATGCGCGCGTGCGCGTCTAACCTCATGCTTAGAACTGCCTGTGAATGTTGTGGAATGCTACACCTGGAAGGGTCTGGTTTTGCCAGTCCCATGATGAGAAGTCATGGGAGAAAGTGGGCCTAGAGATCGCACCCGTCTCCTTCGAGAGACAGCCCAGAAATGTTCGATGTCCTGTATCTATCAGTGTATTTTGTAGCCGCCACGCTAACCTTAATGAGTCATTTTTACAGCCTTGGGTAGAGGCACTTTCACCTCAGCAGCGGAGTAATTTTAGAATATAAATCCATTCAGGTGATGCCCCATCATCAAAATCACAAATTCTGATTCCACTCCTCATGCAAATCAACTGTTTCTTGATGGAGAGAGAGAGCGCGAGAAAGAAGGGGATGGAATTGTCTGGTAACCCCAACGGGAATACAAGTCGCCTTTGTTTTCCTGCATCAACGGACTGCTGCGTGCGAGCAAATATATGCAATTCACTTACTCTTGGCGATGAACGTTGATGTGTGTGTCAGCTTTGAGATGATGTGTCTTGGATTAATACTTTGTCTCCCAGTATCACAGAAAATACAGACCAGGGACTCTTGAGGTTGACGTCGTTAGGCTTAAATGGCCTCCTGCAATCCCAGGACTCCAGTGTACCCAGAAACTTGTAGAGTCAATGATATGCAGCTAACTCCCAATGGCCCTCAAGGACGCTTCATCTTTCTCGATCTGGAGGTCAGTGTGTGAAGATACAGTATTGCTCAGATAGAGATACCAAACCCAGCCAACATACTGCCATTTTGCATTATAATCTCTGAGTGTTTGCCTTGCTTATTCTGAACGATGGTTGCAGAAGCTGCAGCCATTCCTATAAGCTATAGCATCAAATCAGGGAAAAAGAAGGAAAGGGAAAAAAACAAAAACAGAGAACCTGAACCGTATGGTGTTGACTAAGTAGAGAAAATCACCGATAAATATTTATTCTATTCTGACAGGGTGTGTGGCATTGTATTCTCGTAACTATGCCAGAGTGACCAAGTTAATTCACCCCTTTTGGGGAACCTTAATATATTTTTTAAGGGATGTGCCTATGCATTGATGCCTGAAAAATATGTATAAAGAAATGCGGTTGAATCCCTGAGCAGGTCATCTTTCCCAGAAGAGTAAGAGGAGGAAGCTAAATTCAGGGACAATGTCAAGGCCAGGAGCGAATGCTGGCCCTGTGAGCTCAGATGCTAAATCATGCCCAAAACTTCTATCAGACAGCAGGAAGCTGTTCCCCTGCACCAAATTAAGTACTTTCACCATTGTCCGCTGGCCCCAAATTGTTTTTTTAACAATCTTCTAGATGAAATGTTCTGGTGTGTTTTAAGAAAAAGTTATTATTAAAAAAAAAAAAAGGCTGTGCTTGCTGCACAGCTGGTGTGTGTGTGTGTGTTGAGACCTCTTGTATGCAATCTGTGAAGGATATGTGTATTAATCCATACACGTGTATAGCCTCCATATTTGTCTAAAGACACTTAAAATTGTGACCAGTAAAGGAAAGTTCTAGAAGCAATATTTTCACTTATGTAACATTCTCCAAACAATAGCAAGTGTTGATACACACTGAAGAGTGCATTTATTTTTTTGTATCACACCACATATGTTGGAATATGCAAGGACTGTGGTTAAAATGAGAATGTATAAGGCATATTATAATTTTGTGCATACTGAAACAGAAGTCAACAGAACATTTGATTGGGTTCATCAGTGTTCCAAAATTTGAGCGATCTTGAGTTAGCCCTAGAAATTTTCTATTTTAATTTGACAAAGTATTTGCCCTTCCCTTCATGAACTTTTAGGTACACGTAACTTATGTCATTTATTTATGGTCTTTTATACCTAGTTTGTAAAATTGTAAAATAGCAAACTAAATGCAAAGAGTTTGCATTTGAAAATAATAAAGTAGTTGCCGTATACAAACCTGGAATGTAGTTGTCTCTTCTCTTCAATCTGTTCTGCCTTATGCTTTTAAGTTAAATGATCATCATATAATTAAAACACAAACTCTTGCTTCTCAGTTGAGTGTGCTCCTTTGGAAGCTAAAGCACATTGACTTCTAAATGGTCTCACCCTTGAGAATAATGCCATTAGCACTTACATCCGACTTATATTCTGCAAGAACCTATATGATGCTGACTATGAACACTAGACTTCAACAGACTGGGACTTTGGCTGGAACACAGACTGCGCCACTTAATAATGCGATCGAATGTCTCAACTTCCCTACGCCCATTCTTGTTTGTGCACTGCTGATTATAATACCAAAAGCTTTATTAAAGATTAAATACATTTCAGCTTTTAGCATCGTACCATGCACCTGGAAAACAGCCAACAACAGGGTAGCTCTTCTTTGTGATAGTGTAAATGCTCTTAACATCCCTAGTCCTCCACCCTGTCTAACATCTTTGTTGCTGATCCAAATGACAACCTACCAATCATGGATGTTGCTTGTCACTGAGCCAAGCCCTCCTCCTGGATCACCTCCTTGCACAATGGAACTGTGTTAGTGTGGGTAGACTAGAGAAACGAATCCAGGCAACTCGTGTGCATAAGGGAGAGCTTCATAGACAAGAGCAATTGAATATAGAGAAAACATCCCAGCTCAGTCCAGATCAAGTCCAAAAGTCTGATATTAGCCCCTATGTCCGATACCAGTCTATAAAGTCCACTTCAGACTCACGAAACGCATGCAATGACACGGCATGCAGGAAGATCACAGGTCAGTGGGTGGAAAGTCTTGCGGATCCAGTGGCAGTAGAAGCATCTCAGCACTGGCAGGGGTCTCCATGTGGCGCCTTCAGCTCCAGGGCTCTGGCTGTATCAGTGTACTTCCATCAGGTTCCTTGTCAGTAATGTCTCCCAGGTAGTGAGCATGTCTCACCCTCCAGGGAGCTATTTATCTCTTTAGCGCCTCCAGATGAGGTCATCAAGCTGCAACCTGATTGACAGGTTAAACTCCACCCCTTCACTCTTAAATCTCAAATTGATACCCTCTATATCTAACAGGCACTAAACACTGCTTATATAATGCTATCCCCATGTTCATTTGCAGCTTTTGGGGTTTTGTTGGCTTATTTTCAAACATAGATCATCAGTCCTTAAGAGCAGCTGTCTTTGGAGAGAAGATAGGGAGGGATCAGATGAGTGGTTCGGTTTAATTTAAAATATTTCAGGAATATTTTAATGATTGGGACTTGACTTTTTTTTTAAAGCATAGGAATTAAGTTATGGCTGATTGTTTTGTGAGCATTTCCTTCAGCTTCTCTCCAGAACCATCACAACTAACAGAGTAGTCACCAGCATCCTGGTGATTTGATGGGGACTAGACTTTGCCTTACCTAAAAATGCTCTTCACCCCACCCACCTGCTTCTTGTTGTCATTAGTGTTTGTTCTGACTCGTCGTGTCCTTACGTGTTCTCAGTGGGGTTTTCAAGGCTATGTGATTTCACATCCCCAGTTCACCTTCCAAGGTACTTCTGGGTGAGATCGAACTGCTAACCATTATCAAGTATTCCAGAGCTCAGCTTGTTGCATCAGCCAGGGACTACTCCCATCTGTTTAGCAAGACTGAAAAATCCCTTAATAAATAACGTGTTCCTATTTTTCTCAATGAGCTGATAGAAGGGTATCAAAATTAAAATATTTCTGAGATAGATTTAAGATCTGTGAAACATGCAAGTTTTGTATTGCTAAGGGTATTGAATTCTAGTAATAAACAGGTTTCGTTCCAAAATCACAACCCAGAGGAAGATCTGAAGAATTTTATCTGGCAACTCTTCCAACTACGACTAAGGTAACTGAGTTCCTTTCTTCCTGTGATGTTGCCGTGTTAAATATGTAGTCTCCCAGCCCGCTTTATAAGGTAAAGTACATGAAGACAACTGTCTCCGAGATTTTATGGCCAGATTTAGAACGGGTTTCTATTATGACTTCCCATCGCTCGTTTGCCAGAAACTAGTCACGCGGACCCACCAGAACTGCTGAGAGGTTGGGAACAGTTTTCATATGTGCAGGAAGAAGCAACGAAACCGTTGAGCACTGAGACCATCTCTACCTCAAGTACAAAATAGGGATTATATACTTCGGGTAGGTCAGGGAAAGCTTCCTGGAGAAAGCAAGTACATCCACCAGCTCAGACTGTTTGCACCCATGGCCATTTGGCAGTACATAGAGAAGTGTGAGTGGTGCTCACACTTGCTACAACATTGACTTCTGCATCTTTATCCTGATGCTCTATGTATTGCACCGTCCTTTCTGCCACACACATCCCTGCCTGCATTTCAGACCCCGAATCTTAGTCATAGCCGTCTGCTTACCATTTAGTGCTTAAATTGTCTACAAGTCCTAGTGTGGGAAGAAGCACAGAATGAGCTGTAATCTCAGTCCAAGCTATATGATATATTATTTTTCCTCTGAGGCTGCATGAAATAGTCCTTTTCCTTCAAATAAAGATACGAGAGACACTGGTGGCATAGTGAGTCACCCATTGGTCTGATAACCACAAGGTCAGCAGTTCAAAACTACCAGCCATTCCTTGGGCAAAAGATGAGGCTTCCTACGCTTACAAAGATTTACAGTCTCAGGAACCTAGAGAGGCCGTTCTATTCTATCCTACAGGGTCTCTTTGAGTTAGAATTGACTTGATGGCAACCAGTTTGGAATGAGAAAAAGGATAACTGAACTCCTTATCATTTATCCCATGGTCTAGAACTTAAACTCTGAAATAGCCTAAGCAATGGAGCTGGATCCCCAGATTAGGGTAGTCGTTCATTGCTGTGAGCAGTTCAAAACCACCAGACAGCCCCGTGGGAAGGTCACACTATACTTTCACCACATTGTCTCAGAGTTATTTAAATTCTCTAGTCTTCTGCACAGTTTGCTTAGAAGAGATTTGGACTTGGTGCAGATCTCAATACATTGATACATTACATGGATGATAATATGTTAATATCTATCACAGAAGGACAGGATAGAACAGATTCGAAAACAGTGGTGGATCACATGACTAATGGAAGCTGGTTCAAAAATCCAGCAAAAACTCCGGGTTCCTACCCAAATGGTGAAATTCTTGGGAGTAACGTGGCAAGAGCCACTTGTGATATTCTGCAGGCAATGCCACTGCTGTTGTTGTTAGGTACCATCGATTCCGTTCTGACACACAGCGACTTCATGGACAGCGGAACTAGACGTTGTGCTGCCCTGCCTCATCCTCACAATTGTTCTTATGCTTGAGCCCATTGGAACAGCTACCATGTCAGTTTTTCTCCTTGAGGGCCTTCTACTGTTTTCGCTGCCCCTCCACTCTACAAAACATGATGTGCTTCTCCAGGGATTGATCTCTCCTGCCAACATGTCCAAAGCATGTAAGATGAAGTCTCGCCATCCTTGCTTCCAAGGAGCACTCTGCCTGTACTTCTTCCAAGACAGATCGGGTTGTCCTTTCAGCAGTCTATAGTACATTCAGTATTCTTCTCCAGCACCACCACTCAAATGCTTCGGTCTTCTCTGTTCAGTGCCTATGATAAAATTGAGAATACTGTGGCTTGGGTTTGGCGCACCTAAGTCCTTCCTTACAGAGGATTCCATATTCTAAAGAGGGCTTGTGCAGCAGATTTATCTAATGAAATAAGTGTTTTTGATCTCTTTACTGTCGCTTCTATCAATATTGATTGTGGATCCCAGCAAGACAAAATCCTTGACAATTTCAATCTTTTCTCCATTTATCATGATGTAACATATGGGTCCAGTTGTGAGAGTTTTGGTCTTACATTAAGTTTTAATCCATCCTGAAGGTTACAATCCTTGATCTTCTTCAGCAATGCTCCAAGTCCTCCTCACGTTCAGCAAGCAAGGTTATGTCATCTACTTATGGCAGGTTATTACTGTCACTACTAACCCCCAAACTAATCAGAAGCCCATCCTTTGGTTGGTTTCTTTTGATTTTAGATGAATCACATTGCATACCTGGGAATATTGCTGGCTCTTATCCATAAAACCACTAGAGGAAAAAAAAACAGATTTCAATGAGGCCCTATCAAAAAGAAGATTATCTCTGAGTTACTTTAGAAAGTAGTCTCACTCTCCTGTCCTTACGTCCTTGTGATTCGCATCCAGACATGACTTTGAAGGTGCTTACACGAACTGGGGTTTATGGCAAAACCTGAAAACTCTGCCCTATGATGACTGTTGGAATTCTGGAATAGGAGGTTTCCAGAAACTGCAACCGGAGGTACATCATTGGAGAGAACATTTCTTGCCTATTACGATGTATTGATTGAGACTGCCTCAATGATAGAAGGGCATAAAATCGTCATGCGACCTTTTGCTGTTGGTCTATGCCATTGAGCCAGTGTCAGCTCATAGTGGCAACATGTACACCAGGAAAAACACTGCCTGCTCCGGGGCCATCCTCAGGTTTTCCTGTGCCATCCTCACATTTGAGCCCATTGTTGGGGTCACCATGTCAATGCATCTTGTTGAGGGTGTTCCTCTTGGTCCTTGTGCTTCGACTTTACCAAAGTCTCACCAGCCTTGCTTCTAAAGACTTTCATTCTGCCTGTATTTCTTTCAGCACAGACCAGGATGTTCCCTGTGCAGTCCATTCGAGTTCAATATGCTTCTCCAGCACCACACTTCAAACGCATCGCTTCTCCTTCAGGTGTCCTTATACGATGTCCAAATTTCACATACATATGAGGTGACTGAAAATACCATGGCTTGGGTCAAGCACAACTTACTTTTCAAAGTAACACCCTTGCTTGAGATCTTGTGCAGCAGACTTACCCAACGCAATGCATCCTTTTATCTCTTAGCTTCTGCCTCCATGAGCATTCATTGTGGAGCCAAAGATGATTAAACCCCTGACAACTTCTATACATTCCCCATTTATTATGATGTTACCTATTAGTCCAGTTGTGAGA